GATGGCCGCCCCCCCCCCCCCCCCCCCCGCCGCCCCAACTACGCTGAGCCAGGTGTGCTGACGCTCCAGGGCGCCGACTGGTCTCAGCTTTCTCTGCTCGCCTACTCCTGCCCTGGCTCCCCTCTCCCCTCCCTCCTCCTCTGTCTGCCCCACGCCCTGCCCCGCAGGCCACCCAGAGCCGCCCGGCGTGCGGAGTCGGGATCGCGGACCCGCGGAAGTACCGGCGCGGACGCCCCTCGCGGGAGCCCGGCGGGTCACGGAGTCGCCGAGCCGAGCTGGGCGGGGAGGAAATGCGCTCGGCAACTCGGCACGCCCGCGCGGAGGCGCCCTGCTGCCGACGGCAGGCTGTCTGCCACCACCCGGAGGACGCCGAGCACCCAAACAGGAACTTTAAAGGGATGGAAATCTGTTGCCTGTTCCGCTAGGAATATTGTTCGCCAGGCACAAGGTGTCTTCTGGCAGCGAGCGCCGTCCGCGCATGCGCAGGGCCACCGGGAACCACTGCCCAGCCGCCGACTAAGTTGCATTCCTTGAATCTTCGCAGAAAAGCCCGTTGTTGGGTCGGAGTTAGTGATGTGGACAGTACAGACCCGGGAGAGTCTGGGGCTCCTGTCTCTCCCCGTGATGATCGCCGTGGCCTGCTGCGCGCACAGGTGAGCGCCGTGTTGCCTGGCGTTTTCTCGGCGTTGTCCTGCGGACATGCCTGCCGGATCGTGTCTGGGTGTTGGGGGTAGGTGTGCCTGTGTCCTTTCCTGTCTGCTCGCGGTCTGTGCTCGGGCTGAATGCGGTCCCCACTTCTTCCCTCCAGCGCCAACGAGCCCAGCAACATGTCCTACGTGAAAGAGACGGTGGACAGGCTGCTCAAGGGATACGACATCCGCTTGCGGCCGGACTTTGGAGGTAACGCTCCATCTTTTTTCAACCTGTAACCCATCCCTAGTTCTCCTTTTCTGTCAAAGATAAACGAAAAAAAAAAAAAAAAAAAAGCCCGTCATTTTCGCAAGCGGTGCACTACGCCCTGGACCCAGGCACACAGGCACACGCGCACGCACACACACACTTCCGACCCCAGGCTCAGGGCACGGGTCCCCCAGGCTGAGCCGACCTTCCCGGGCCGACACACCCTCTGCGTAGTCCCCGCAGCACGCGTGTGCCCACACCTGCTTCCCCTGGAGGTCCCCTGCAGGGCTGGGGGGTGGGAGGGAGGGAGCCGGTTCGGAACCGGGAAGAGCTGGAAGCCCCCCGCCCGCCCCAGCCTGCGGCTGCTCGGAGGATGTGTCCTTAATGCGGTCCCACCGTCCCGCAGGGCCCCCCGTGGACGTTGGGATGCGGATCGATGTCGCCAGCATAGACATGGTCTCGGAAGTGAACATGGTGAGTGGCCTCCCCGCGGCCCGGCGGTCGGCTTACGCAGATGCCAAATGGACCGGTCCCCGTGTCCTCTGCGCTTCACTGGCGGCCACCTCGTCCCTGGTCCCGGGGGTCCCAGTGCGCGCTGTCTCCCTACAACGGCACCCACACCCCGTCGCCCCCTGGTCTGTGTTTTCGACACACACGGGCGACTGCGGCGTTCGGGGGGAAACGTGCTCCGCACTATTTTGGGAAGGACGGGTGACTGTTGCGCCGCGGTCGACTGGGGCGGAGTCTGAGCGCCACTTTAGCAGGGTTTCCCAGCCTGCTTGGAGGAGCAGCTCACCACCTGCCGGCGGCCCG